TTTATCATTTTACTCTAGTTTAAATCTGTCATAATTAGTTTATTGGAATATAGTTTCAGAGACATCAAAGTTAAAGTAAATCTTATACTTTTACTTTTAATCAGCTAGAAAATATGACGTGAGACCAAGTCAGTGAGACCAAGTTGGACGTTGTATTAGTAATTCTTTTTATTTTTTCCCAAAGAGAACATATTTTTTTTTTTTATTTTTTAACATAATAACATATTGGGAGTGGGAATAGAAATACACCGGGTACAGGCTCCCAACACAGCGGAGTACTCCGACAATGGTTGATTGTCTGTTCCCAACTGAACAGAAGATATTCCGCCTTCAAAATGAAACCCAGAATGTGGGCCGTTGAGGATCTCCTAATGTCAGAAGGGCAAAGTAGTTCTCGATCCAGTGACCTCCTCCTGGCTCCTGACTTCTCTCGGCTGACAACAATTTATAAATCAGAGACATAGTTATAGACCTACTTAATCCACATCGGCTCACAGATCTGAATGGCAGATCCTGATCTTGCAGAATCATTACCATTAATTCCTGTATGACCAGGCACCCAGCAAAGCATCACTTTGTTTTTGCTTGACAGGTGCTGCAGCATGAAATATCACACTAATAGAAGCTTTGAGGAAAACTTCTAGGAGGATAATGCTTTGATTGCTGCTTGACTATATGAACCATAACATATTACTAACAACTTATTCACAAAGTATCCATAAACTAACGACGGTTTTAGCAGAACCAGTGCTGTGGATGTGATAGATAGGGCACTTCCTACCTACTATTAATAATGCCTACTATAATAAGGCTACTCTGATCACTGACTGTTGTAAAATATATGAAATTTGCCAATATAGGTGCAGTTGCACTACTCAATATCATCTAATAAATCATTTAAACGAAAACGAAAATAAAATGATAAATATGCAATTGAATTTTTATTATAAAATAAATTCTCTCATATATTTGATAGCATAATTTGACCCAATATAGTTTGCACCAGTAACTGGAGCACATTCACTAAGCCCAATATCATGAATGTTCGCATTGTGGTTACTTTCAAAATAATTATCCGCGTCTTGGTTTTCGTGATAATCTTATCGGAATGCGGAATATAAACTTAAAAAGGTTTACACGACCAATGGCTTTTGAATTCTGCTTTTTAGCCCATACTGAAAGAAATAATGCTGTGATTCAGCTATATTAATAATAATTTTTATTCTTACCGTTGCATGATGCAATGCAAATGAGAAACCATGTTAATAGAAAAGAAAGCTTCATAATTTAAATTATCTCTCCCGAATTGAATAATGTATTTGCAGCAGAAAAGAATCAAATAATGTCGCAGTACAGTTGCAGTGATTTTTAAACATTTTTCGTATCTCTTACAATAGTCACGGTACAGCACATTAATTATTCAATATTTTCCGCAATACTGACTGTAAAATACATACATATTATTATTATATATATATATGTATATAATGACTTCTATTAGTGTAGAGTGTATATACCAAGACTGGTTATTATTATTTATTATTTAAAGTGTAGACGTGAAAATTGCCCAACAGCCGGTACTGCGGCCAGAAGAGTCCTATTTACCAAATCAAGTCTGGTTAAGACTTGTACATACCTTAAAGTTCCACTAATTTCTGAGGTGTACCTTCCTTATACCTTATATCTATTTGCTAATGCGTTCATAAAAAATTGAGGTTTATTGTGAGTACAAAAACTAAAGGTCACTACTTTCACTTAAATTAAAGAGAAAAAGAATTGATTTAATAGTTTTAATTAATTTTTATATTAAATTTGGAAAGAATGAAGTAAAGTTGCTGCCATTTATATCAATCAATTGTTGACTTTCTACTTCTTTAAAAGTAGAAAGAAAGCAGATAAGTCAATAGAATGAGTATCGTACTCATTCGCGATGCTTTACCTCTAAGTTTAAATATTCCTAAAGTAATTTTAAAAAATAATCCAACAAGTTTTTCATTCTAATTTAATTGAACGTTCAGTAAAAACTGTTATTGTAGTTTGACATAGATGATCTGGAACAGGGCAATAAAGATGCGATCGCTGGCGAAACGATTGAATGGGCCGCAGAAAAAAATAGATACGTTCATAAGTGTTTTCGACTAAAATAAAAATATGGTTATAGTTTTAAATTTAGTTTCATTAATTTAACAATTTAAATTCATATATTTCAACTACCATAAAAATAAAATAATGTAGTTTTACCTTTACACCAGAAGGAAATTTGCGGGTCGTGCTTCGTACAGCCCAAGTCTGAAAGATAACTAAAAAGCGTTGGTAATTTCTTAAATCCATTTTTATTTCTGTATTTATCACGTATCATTATAACAGAATTCAGTAGCATTTTCTTTAAATTCATAGTTCTGGAGGAAAACTGATTAATATTTTACTGCAACAGTCGTTTCAAATGCATTTTCATTTTAGATTGTAAAATTTTTCAGTTCATTTCGAAGTAACGGTCTTAATAGTCACTTAAGTAGTCAATACTAATTAATGTTTTAGTAGGTTTTAGTTGGCAAACTGGTTTCTCAGTACATAAGCTAATAAAATACAATTTCTAGCAGTAACTTTTAGTGAATCCAGGCAGATACAGCCGCCAAATTGATCAAATATGGTGGCTTTTTGATTTTGTATCACTATTCATAAGATGTTCTTCTAGGTTTCTTGTCAAATCTGTTTTATTTAGGATTTCAAAAATGTTACTCCGGATCACAGAGAAGTGGTAATGAGTTAGCTTTACTGATTGGCTCGATTAACTCCACTAGTTTTATAAGTTCTTATTTCTCTATGTTAGCAAAACTCTTTCCTCCTGTATGTATAATGGGAAATATATCATTGTCGCAGAACCGTTACTGTAGTAGTATATAGATTACAAATATTTTTAAGAGTTTGTTTAAAAAAAACAAAAAAAAAAAAAAAATAATTAATTGAACAGTCCTAAACAAGTACGTAGTGTAAGCATTGCTGATGTTTGACTACGTTTAATCTGTTAACAGATCTATATACATATCTTAAACTATTATGTATATAGGGAATTTTATAAATTAATCTTGATGCAGTTATACCATATTTTTCCAATGTGGGAACGAGGAATTTTATTATTATGTGTGATGGAATGTGGTTGTAATTCATTTCCACAACTTTCATTGTATATTGTGAAGGTTCTACCCGCTAGGTTTTGGTTATTCTAAGATATAACATTTATGAATTTGTCAGATATTTTTTTGTGTAATTTTTTTTTTTAGATTTTGAGAAATCATAGATGGAAACATTATAAAATAGGCCTAGAATTGTGATCTGATATTCTGCTTGTATTTTAAGATCAAAGTTCTGTACTATGATGTATTGATTGTATTGAACTTACTCAACTCTTACCCTTAGGTTGCATCCTTGTACGGAATGGGTTAAATGTTTATAACGTTTTCCTTGTTTGTATGATTTGCCACATAAGATATTCTGAATATTTTTTTGTTTGTATAAGCCGATTTACTATAGACGCCATGTACTTGTTAAGTTTGATCTTAAGTCGAAAATGATATAAAGTGCATCTGAATTGTGGATGTTATATTAATGTACAAATGAGCAGTAATAATGTGTACGGGTTTTTAATTTGATAAAGTATGTCAAAGTTTATTTTCATTTATTGTGTATTTTTTTTTGAAAAAATAAAATTATAAACAATCGTAATTGTAATTTACATTTGAAATTTTATGTTGTTGTAAAGTATTAATATATGAAAATATATTTCATACCAGGATTGTTTTTGATTTTTATTCCATTAAGTATTACAGAAAATGTTCAAATAAATACAAAATTACATTATCTAATTCCTCCATTCATATAGGTAGTATAGTATACGTATGACTGTCAATGTGTTACTGGTTTAATTGGAAAAGGTGATATTAATCAAGATTCTAGCTTAAGTATTGACAGAGCTACTCTTGGTGGTAATGGTGTTGCAAATTCAGGTACTGGCAATGTGTAGTAATGCTGACGTTAGTGGGTTTGTCAAATAGTGCCGGTGCCTACTTATGTTCTGACTTGGTGGTGGTTTGTTAGATAAACAGACATTATTATAAATACGCATTCAGATTTGTTCATTTCAAAACAGGAACAGGAAAAGCTTCACTGCTTTGAATGTGATTATGAAAGAAATCATTTATGTGATTAAAATGCATTTCGAAAGTAGTTGCATGTAAAATACTGTCATAATGGCTGAAATCTATTGCTCTATTGGTTATTTGTATTATTGTATTAAGAAGTTCATGTTTTCACTGGAATCTCTAAGCTTTCTATATATATGCTGGCTATATATAATTTGTTTCCACCGATTGTTATATTATTTGACCGAATTGTATTCTTTTTCACATTAAGTAGCCTTGTATTGAGGGGCTTAATAATATTAATAGATGGTAACTTGCAAAATTGAAATATGTCTCTGTCCATGGTGACTGCACAAACTCGTTACTACAAATTTTTAAAGAAAAATTTATCACGACTAATGGATGTGAACACAAAGCTTCCATCGAAAACATGACTGCGAAATGTAACTTAATGTCGATTGACAGCCTTGTATTGTGTTGTGTTTTCCCATCCAATCAACAAGAGTTGTGGTCTAATGTCATAAGCAAATGCACGACTTCCTTGGCACTGTTTTCCATGACATATGTTCTAGACATACCTTCATCGTACATGACCAATGTAAACACAATTAATTACATGTATTGGCATTGTTTCTAACATGATTGCAATATTAAATTGAAATTTTAAACGCATTCTATAGGTAGTAATTAAATGGCATTTAGTAACATTTATTCTATATTTAGCTTAAGTTAGATATATTTTTAATATTTGTACAGAAAAGATTTAAATTTCATACATGTAAGTAAACACTAAATAAAGTACTTATATTACAAAATTTCCTTAAACTAATGTTGGTTACTGTTATGTGTGCTGATAAATGATTTTAATATCCATTCTTTCTGTTCACTGAGGATGTGGCATAAGAACTGGCATAAGCGCTGCTATAACTGGAATGTGTATTATGAGTTTTATAACTGCTTTGGCCTCCCTGCCCATTAAAACCACCATGACCACCATAACCCCCTTGACCTCCATAGGAACCCGGACCAAATGACGGAGTTCCACTGCCACACTTTCCTGGTCCACAAGCTGATGTGCCTAATTGGTCAGGGGATTCTTGAAATGAACCAGGAATGATACCACCACCAATACCGCCTCCACCGGCACCGGCACTAGCACTTGCCCCAGCTCCTGCAAAAGCACTTGCAAAACTGCCTGCAGGTCCTCCAACACCACTGTGAGTTTTACAAACTCCATCTGTACAGTCTACTGATGTTACGAAATCATTTGATCCTGGTGATCCTGTATTAGACGTTGATCCAGGTGAACCACTTAAGCCGCCACCTAAGCTACCACCCAAGCCACCACCTAAGCCACCACCTAAGCCACCACCTAAGCCACCATCAAAGCCGCCACTTAAGCCACCACCTAAACCACCAACTCCACCTATACCTTCAACATTTCCAGTTAAACCTGGCCCGGTAAATCCAGAAGAAGCGGTTGGAATTTTATTATTCGGTAAACCATTTCCATCAGCTGACGTTTCCTGAACGGTTATATCATAGCTACCAATTACGTTTCCAGGAATTAAAGTGGCATGAAAATCTGGGCTGCCTCCAACATTTGGTTGACCTATATTAATTGCACCACTTGGTAAACCAGGACTATGGCCCACTACTAACCCTGTACTTCCATCAGCGCCGGAACCTGCAAACCCACTCGCGCCACCGAAAACAACAGGTCCACTACTGCCACCAGTGCCTATGGGAGTAGCTGGATTATTATTCAATATTAATCCACCGCCTTGCTGATTAGGGGTAGGACCTTTATGAACGTTAGGAGTTGCTGCACCTACATTATTTTCTGCTCCAAAGCCAATTGAGCCTGGACGAGAATGACCCAAAGGACCTTGTTGAGTTGCCGGTTCGTTCAGATTTAATGGTGGAACATACTGCGGAGAAACATTGCCACTGGGAAATATTGGTTTTCTTTCTGAAATGGCAATATTAATAGTTGAGAAATATTATAACAAATACGCATAAATTATTTATATATACCAGGTTGTTTGTTTTCAACTCCTCCAATAATTACAGTGCCACCACAACAATCTCTATCGGCACCACCAAAGCCACCACCTCCAGAGCCTGCATTAGCCCCAGCACTTGCAGCAGCATTTGCAAAAGCTGAAGTAGGTGATCCATTTGGTTTACCACCCAGTAGTGTGGAAAAAGTTACAGGACCTCTTCCCCCACCATTACCAGCATTAGATGAATGTAATCCAGTTCCGCCTACAGTAATACTTAGATCATTTGGATTGACACCGTTATGGCCTACAGTCACACCACTCGCATCACCTCTTCCTCTGCCTGCACCACCAAGCGCTGTTCTACCTAATGCATCTCTTACTTTTTCTACTCCACCCAGTATTCCACCAACAATTCCATGAATTACAGGCGTAACTCCATCACCAACTTGAATGTGTTTTTGTAGTGAAACTTTAAGCCCACTACCTCCTGCACCACCATCTGCAGCTTGTGTTAAAAATGGATTACCAGCATTGATACCTGGCGCGCTTGCTTGAGGTTTATTTTGTCCCCAACCTCCAACACCAAAGCCACCGCTTGGTCCAAAACCACCAAAATCTCCTACTCCGCCTTCGTCACCTCCCGAAGAAAAACCGCCTGCACCAGCCGAAGCACTTGCACTTGCCGTTGCACCGCTATACGCTCCACCACCATAGTTGCCACCATAGTTACCACCATAATTACCACCATATCCACTGCAAACAATGACGTCTAAAATATTAATTGATGTATAAATAAGAACTATTTATATACTGGAAAATAAATAACAAAAATTGTTCTAACCGAGTGAACACAAGACCAATAAAGCTGCCGTTAGCAATTGCTTGCTTGAGTAGAACCTTGCTTCCAACATGTTCGAATCGCAATTGTTTCCTCGTCTTAATAATAATTTCATTTTATACTTAACTTACAAAACTTCAAAGAGAATTTCCAATTTTTTACTTAAAAACGATTTGCACAGAGAATTCGCATTCTAATGTGGGAAATTCCAAGCTTTGCAAACATGTTCTTTGGAAAACCTATGCCGGATTGGAAGTGCAGCGCACTAACTAGCAGTCATAAGCGATGAGTGCTAGAAATGATTTCATGTAGACATTTTACTTCAAGAGTAACAACGTCATATATCTGAGGTCGACTGACTCTGGCGAATTTGTGCATTTTAATTTGATTAAAAATGAGGGAGAGATGTTGGGTGGGGAGGCAGTGCTTAGCTTGCCAAGTGATTATACTAGTATTTTTAATTGATAATAATCTAGGAAGATGCATATAGAAATGTTGTTAATAAACAATTAGAAAAAAATTTAATATTCTGCGCTTTGCAATAATTATATTCCGTTTCATGAAATATAAGCACTAAGCAAACACTGTTCACATTTTTATAATAATTATTTAAAATGTTTATGGAAACCTATTTCGGCCTCAGCCAAACCAAAACTTCTATTGGTGATAACTGTTTAGAAAGGTTTTAGAACGCATACATGGAATAACAGCATCTCGTAAAACTTTAAATAAAAACATTGAATGAAATAATGAATAAATAAATTGTAAACTACGCATAGACCACTGATTCCATAATCCGGATTGTGTATTATGTGTTCAGATTGTGTTCAGAGTAATAAATCACAATATGTGTATCTTTTTCGTCTATGGTATTTGGTGTTTTCGATTGGTAAATCTAGACTTACTCTCGATCTGTTAAATTTTGTTACCCGATCACAGATTTTTAGAGTAATCTAACATTTTTGTAGTAGTGTTAGTAGACATTTGAATTATTCATGAACATATCTATCGAGTCTAATTACACTTTATTTGTCAAGTTATATAAAACAGCTGTTAATTTTAGGAGAATTTGGCTACTTTGAAAAAATATTTAGAGTGTTATAAGCTAATCTCAAGTGTTAAACATTTTACTAGCGATTTAGCAATCCAAAGTGAAATTAGCACTAAAAGTGAATCTCGATTGAAAAACCTACCGCAGATTTACCAATAGATTTCCCGGCAATAGTATATATAATAAAATCAGTTTGCAGACATACACACAAATAGAATATACTAATTTTATTGTTTGATTTATGCATTAATATTATCATATATATTATCATTATGGATTAATATTAATATTATCATATAGGTACACTTTAGTCTTAGCCGGATATCGAAATTTTTTTCAATTTCTTTTTTAAAGTAATTGAATAACACAATATACCTTTATGCAGTTTTATATGAATGCAATGATATGTGTGAAAGTATCACAGTAATTTAGCCAAAAGCTGTGAATTTTTTAAACCAATGTTATCGTTGAACCTTACGGGTTTTACGGCCTTAATGAATATTCAGTATCGATTTGTGGGCTCATAAATTAGAGCTACTAAAGATATCTAGAAATACTAAAGGGACTGAATAGGATATACTTTCGTAGAATGAAATAGGTGTCCTGTTTGTCAGGCATGAGCTTAAACACGCAAGGCTCTATGAGTCCCACTATATCGCCAAAACTTAGAGGAGAATAGTGGAGCACAGACTAAAAGGTGGAAGATATTTGTAGAGCTTAATATTAATTGATAATAAAGGGTCTGTACACTGTCTGGAATGCCTGAATCATAAATTAAATATACATACGTAAGTTCTAAAAATAATACTTTACAGTGTTTACTTTACAGATAGTTATTTTAGTAATTTTATAAGTAATTTTTTTTGTTGATTTCAGCTAGTTGTTAATTAATTTCTAATATCACATTTCGGTTATTTAAAGTAGTTATTCACTGTGTCAAATTTAACACCTTAAATTGTGAACTGCACAATAAAAATTTATTTCTAAAGAATAGGACCAAACTTTCTATTTCAATCACTCATGGCGCTGATCATGGGAGTTATTTCAAAGTTTTGAAATAAGATTTTTCTTAACAGAAAAATTAATTTAAATACTGACCTAATTAATAATTATTAATTGTCAATAACTAAGTTATAGTATAGTTTTCAAACATACACTGACCTGTACTATTATAAAAGTTGAAAAATTTTTGAAAACATACATTTAAATACAAATGTGGAGATCATGAATAATCGATCACATTACATACGTATATGATATAGTTAGTTAATTGAAGTGTAGGGAGGAATGAATCCCCCTCAATAAGCAAAGAAGGCTATTTTTAATCCACAATTCCAACCAGAAGCATTCATAAAGGTCTAGCCAATGCTAATACTGGAGATATCACTTAGACTGTTAAGGAAGGGGCTCCCAAATAGTTAAGCCCGACCAAGCCCGGACATAGACATGACAGGTGTTGGTAGACATGCATTGCAGTAGATACCACAGGACAGGTCGAGTCTAGCCTCATGCCGTTCTATGGTCCAGCCCTGTAAAAACATATATTAATATAGATATCTCTGATTTGCTTCTATGTATCAAGTCAGAGATTCTGCATTTGGAATAAATTGGTCATGCATCCCTTGATCTAGCTGTTGAGGTAGTATGGGTCCACCCACTATTTGTTTGTCGCAAAAACTGACTATAAATCAACCTCTGACAGTAGCTGGCAGGGGCAATGTATGTAAATGTAAAAAGAAGAAAATCATATTGTAAATAAAATGCTTTGGCTTTTCGGTAATAAGCATAGAAAAAAATTAGGATTTTAGTTACACAAATATATACCTAATCAGTAATAGAATGTTACCACAATGTAATTAGCGTTAAAACATAAACCCTCAACACCTCCGTTTGTATCTAACAAGTGATGAGTAAACAACATTGGCTGCCAAACTGGTATAAGCAACTTCGGATTTTGCGGTAAAAAGTATAGTTGAATTAAAATTCAATTCAGATGAGCTGGAGTAGTTGTCAATAACTATGAAGAATATTAAAACAGTCTTCTATGCAAATATAATTTATTTCGATGTTCGTGGGAGCTATTAGCTTTTTTATAATGTCAAAAGTAATCAAAACAACTATTAATAAAAATTTTAACGTACGGGTGTGAATATAGTATATATATTAAATACATATGTATATATATATATGAATATATACCGGTATTGCCTTAGGCGGTTCGCTACATCTAAAACAGAAACTTTTGTTCTAAAAATTTTTCAATTCACCTGAATGAAAAGAATAAAAAAAATTAAAATTAATTGGATATTTAATGATGAATTAAACTTAGTTTAAGCTCAATTTAATTCATGGCTCTGGTTTTATTATAAACACATTCTTTTCTATTTAATTTTCTACAGAAACTGCTCTTGAGCATGACTTCTCTCAAAACAGTCATTACGTTTCATTTACTTTATTTTTTCCTGCTTAATTCTCTCAATTTTTAATTGTTGATTATATTGTTCTCATCTCTCTACTTCTTTAATACACAATTATTTAATGATATTTTTTATTGTTTTAGATAAATAAATATTAATAATAATAATTTGACAGACTTTTTACTTGTGATGATTCAATTTAGTATTATATTATTAAAAAAAAAACAATTTTGAGCTAATCTTTTTTGCTGTTTTCGTCACATCAAATACATGGTCTATATTGTCGGTCTCGTTCAATCGTTTTCCATTCAAATGCCATCAAAGTAGGACAGACCGTTTTAAAGTGTTCCACATAAATAAATATATGTATATCCCGAATTTTATTTATAGGTATGAACATATCAATGGTGCGGCATTAACCTTCTTAATGGGTATTCATAACTAGTAGAAAGCTATATTGTAATTTTTACATGTACCATCCAGACCAGTGGTTCCCGACATTTTTTTAACCAAGGACCACTATGTTATTTTTGTTATTATAAGGAACCACAAAGTTTTAGAATAACAAACTTTGTGATTATTATAATATACTTAATGCCTTACTGGTACAATGTATGGTATAATAAATAGTATAAGTGCATAATATAGGCTATAAAATAGAAATATAATTACTTGGAAATTTTTTGTGCCAATTTTCTATTAAGTGAGCTCACAGTGGACAAACTACAAGCTATGTATTCATAACTGTTACATTTGATTCACGGACCATTTTTAACCATCTCACAGACCACCGGTTGGGAACCACTGATCTAGACTATGGTTTTTTAACCGCTGGTTCACAGGTCTGTGATGCGCCATCAGCACCATGAATACTATAAAAAACCGTATTTTCGATTTGAACGAGATTTAATTTTTGGAGATATGGTTATGGGTTTTTGGAAAACTGAATACTTTACCGGTGTTTGACTATTTTTGATCCGCAGTAGATTTTTTGTAAAATACATTTATCTAGACGACTATTTTTAGTAGCAGGTTATAGGTACTGTTGAATTTTTTTTTAATTAATGGATACTTTTTTATTTCTCGAATGAACTCCTGGTATTAGGACATGGTCATGTGCTTAGATTGCAGAATATTTAAAAGTATATCTGTTAAAACAAATATTTTTGCAAATACCTATTGCAGAAACAAAATAGGCCTCCATATATTTGCATAGAATACTGACTTTATTATTTTGATAAAATTAAGCTAATATTTGTTTTTATTTTATTATTTTATTATATTTTTGTATTTGGTTTGTAAATTTTATGAGGTGCTGACTTCTTTTTATTGCAACATTGTTAAGTAAAATATGAGAAAGTGAAGCTCCGAAAGAGGTGTCAATAAAAACTCTGATCGATGTGAGTTTTTAGCCTACGTGAATCCAGACCCTATTTTAATATAGGTGTATCGATATCTAAAACAATTTGAAAGAAAAATAACTAAAGAAAAATTCAAATTATAACATAATAGATCAAATTGAATGTAAGTTAGTACCAATGCAGAATACCAAGAGAAGAGTACGTGCAACTATTTTTCAAAATAAAATATTACCCACACGTTTTTTTTACATGTGTTCTTCACTTGTAATATCTGTTGTTGAATT